TTCAAAGGTGTCAAAAGGTAAAGGAAATTCAAACCTTTTAGCATAATCTCTTTCTGGTTGGGACATGCAATTCACAGTTCTCTCATTATGCTCACGAAAGCTTGTGGGACCAAACACGACCCGGCCCGGCGAATTTCTGATAGCACTGGGACTTTTCTTGGCTCCCAACCTTGGTTCCAGAACCCAGTGAGCTTCGGGCACGTAACAATCCATAACCAACAAAACTCCACCTCCTTCTACCTCTGTCGAGACACGTCAGTGAGATGTAGCCACTTTTTAATACTTTCTCTCGTCGGCCTTCTAGGTCTGAGTACCGGGAAATCTTCTACTGCGATTGCTCGATCTACAGATATGCGTCCGTTTCCATCCGGTGAGTGAACTTCAAAAGGCCTGCTGACGGAGCTCACCATTTTGCTTCTGCCAGCGGTTATGAAAGTAGACCTCGTGGCACTGGCTGACAATCCCAGAAGTTGCAAGACATCTTTCATGATCAAGGTTGCATCTGAGTCATTGTCAAAGGGAGCGTATCGGCCAACTACTTTATCACCGCCCTTTACGCGTACCGGAAGTAGGCCCAAACACACTTTTTTGAGCGACCCCTTAAGTCCACAATTATTTTTCTCCAATTGTTCGTTTACGGCAAGCAGGGTCCTCTTAAATTTATGTAGCGGAGGGTGATTGGACACTTTGCAACTTTCCAAACTACACGTTACGTGGGTTTTGCATTTCATAGACCTGTGGCCTTTTTAGGACAAGAAAAACGGAGGCCAGTTTCCTTGGCTTTTGACCATCTCCCATCTGTCTGTTGTTCCAGAAGTGTGGCTCATTTCATGAATAAATGACTTCCTCCGCAACTTATAAATAAGGGCTTCACAATTTCCCAGCAGGGACCAACCGCTGTGTGGGACATGCTATCTTACTACTTGATCGTCTACTGCTTGTTGCCAAATGTCCAGGCCTAATCGGTGGAATGCTTGCACGTGCTCACACAAACTGTGTCAACTCTGAAAAGGTAGGTTCTCAGCCGTTCTCTGCTAAGTCTTCGACAGTCCCTTCCCATCTCATCTGCAACAAAGGGGGCAATTTCTTTACGATGCCCTCCAAAGTCCTCAGAGAGTCAAGGTCTGTGGCGCGGTTCATTTGTTCTAGGGCTATAGAACAATTTTCCATTTTTGTCGCAAACCTCGACATTGCCTCATTATGTTCTATGTCAAAACATTCCAACAAATCTTGCAATAAAACCCCGTCAACCTCATGAGTCCTTTCAAACAAAAGCTCAATTATTCCTCGTGCCCTGCGGTAACCGCCCGACGGTGGTATCTAGGTGGATTCTTCTGTAGCCCCCACGGATTTACCTTCACAATAATGTAACAAGTATAACAGCATTTGTCCATAGTCGTCGACCTTAAGGATATTGTGGGGCCCAAACTGCCTCATAACCTCCCATCAAAGGTGCATGATTCTACCTTTGGCAACCCATGGTCAAAATTAATAGGGGAAAAAGTAGCGGCGGTTTTCTTGTTCTCTGCTCCATCTAGCCGACCAGTCTCTTAAGGAACAAGCCTGCCTCTAAACTCAGTGCCACGATGAAGTGATTTGTGGCATTTTATATCATCATCCCAAGAGAAAGCATCACTCAAATTCCACATCTAGCGAGTTCAGTTCTCTACGCAAAGGTATCCTTTCCTCCATTTGTTTACCCTTGAACTTACGAAGTTGTAACTCTTATATTTCCTCCAGCTGCCGTGCCCTTAACTCAGCTGAGGTCGTTCTGAAGTTGGCCTTACTGCAGTGAATAAATGGACTAACATCAGAGCCACAAAATGAGATTGCATCAAAGGGGACTTGTTATGTATCTGGAGGTGAATTCATCCACATGTCACCTTTGCTATCCAGATTGGATTCAGAGACCAACATTTTGTGCTTGCCAGGTATGGCAGTGACGCTGAGTTGGGTGCCGCAACGACCAAAGTCCAACTATTTTGATCTGAACTCGGAAAACAACTCAGCAGTGCCAAACAAACAAGAACCCCACAAGTTCATATGTTCTACTATATAATAATAATAATAATAGTAATAATATATTTCATAATATAGTTTCCCGAACGTCTGCGAGTGATTCAGTCGAAGACTGGATCAACAGTATCAAAGTGGCGAATTGCAGTAAACCGGCGACAGATTCGTAATAAACTAAGGTACTATCAGAGCAACGATAAGTTACATCAAAATTTCGAAGGTACTTCGACAATGCTGCTGGGCAACTGTGTAGCCCAGACGTTCTTGGGCACGAATAAGTACTGAGAATCGAAAGAAACACTTCCAACAAAATGGGACTAAAATTCTGTCTACGAGAATCGAGTCAATGCACAGACGTTTACAGTAGCCGGTCAAAAGGTAAGTAGTCAAATCACAGCACAACCTCAAGTTAAGCCAAAACAAAATGTCGGGGACAACAAAACAACGCCACGTTATCAATAGTCTAGCATCACATAGTATGTGAGTGAAGCATTCATGATAAGCATCGGTAAAAACAGAGACGAGTGATGGGTGCAAAGCCAAAGAAGACAAACGGATGGCAAACTAACATTGCATCGGTCGGGGTCGAAGGCACAATACCCATAACGAGGCTAAAATTATTCAGATAAGCGTCAATAATGACAATAATGACAAGTAAAGTACTCGGGAGGGATTTTGAAATTCTTCATTGTTGAACCTTGCATTAACTATTATTGGCTCACGTCTCGAGATTGGATTTACGATTACGATAGACACCCACCTTTTCAGTTCAGCTTCGTGGTGTCGTTCAAAAATCACTGCTGCGCAACCATTTGATTTGGGGCATGAGTTGTGGTCTTTATATTCGGTTTTCGCACGTCGAATAGCAAAAGTAGATGACCACCGGCAGTTACCTGCGTTAGATTTCCAAGCTTCACAAGCACTACTCAGGTTACTATTCCGCCTCTCCTGGCTCAGTGTACGGCGCGTAGACATGCGAATACACAGGGAACTGGACTATGGATGGTACCATGTTAATTAAGGAGCCTTCAAAGAAATTAGAGTTACGTCTTACGATTCAGTCCCACCATTTATCCCATCGCCAAATTTCCTGATGCATTCCACATCCCACCATGAGTGTGCAAGAGCATCTGTAGACTTCTAAAGGGGAGGGAAATGCAATGGAACTTAGCCCTGGAAACAAGTAGTGAAGCCTCCAGAACTTCACATCGCAAGGTTATCAGCACATGCAAATCAAGCAATACAATGGTTAAAATAAGACGCCAGAGTCAACCTGTGATTGACTGCTTTGTGTGGTCAAAATAGTCACTCATACATTAGGAGGACAGTGAAGGGTAAGAATCGACCCCTGTCTCATCAGTTACGGATCCAGAAGAGTTGAATGAGCCAGATCTTTCCAGAGATTATTGGCTGTCCAACCACCTAGGTTTGATTTTCTCAGTAAATGGGGGTGCTATTACTCCTACGGATGTTCCTGAAATACTCCTGTGATGTGCACGGTACGCATCATAAGATAGGCCGTATTTCGACCAACTGGCCACCTTGTTACTAAAGGGCCAAGATAATCAGGTGACCTAGCACTCTCCAAACAGACCGTATCACAGGTAAGCGAACCTAGGACTGTTCTTCCACTCCAAAGACCCTGAGATACTGACGCAATAGACTTACATGAGTCCTCTGCTAGAATACCCCGCACTTATTTGAGCGGCATACGCATTACGGACAAACTGAAAACAGGGGTATCCAATGATTTTTGCTTCCAGGTTACTAGGATACAAGTGCAAGCAGAAGTACAAGTCCAGATGTCAACAATGCAGGTTTTACACTGTTGATCTAGCCTATACAACCTCCTCAAGGCAAGAAAAGAATCATCCGTTGACTTATGGAAGGTTTTAAAAATGGTTTCAGTGTTATACTAATGAGGAAGCCCTTAGTTTTTCGGACTTGGCACTTCTGTCCAGGACTGGAGTAAATGATCTCCATATGAAGGGAGACGAAGGGTGAGTTCGAATGGGACGGTGTTCAAGTGGCAGCCTGTGAGAAGCGGGGCTTCCACTGAACGATCATGAGTTTTCTCCTCTTTTCGTCTATGTATAAACGAATTGCCGCATATGAATAAGTCACTGGTGTTATCATTTGCTGGTGACCCGAAAATATGGAAATCTATCCGTTAAGGTGCAAACACAAGTGTAGCATTTGTGGACCTAGTTATGTGTTCCGCGCGATAAGATCTAGAAAGTGATCTTAACAAACTTGCGGTTATGCAAATAGGTCAAAGCAGCTGTCATCAGTATCTAATACATGTGACATCAGAAACTGAAGTCCAAGAAACCAATGATTTTGAAGTTATAGTCAGCCACAACTGCAAGACGTCTGCATACTGCAGATAAGCCTCAGCAAAAAGACTGTAAGTGCACACATTGGCTTGCGGAAAATTCAGATGCTTCAGTGAAGACATGATTTGGATGCTGTGCCCAAGGTTTTGTGACTCCACTTCGAATACTGCCCTCACACTGCCAGCCCTCACTTTTGAAAGATACTAATGCGCTGAAGCACGTTAAAAGACTTGGTCCTAAGTTGGTGGTCTATCTGTCTAACCCATTCAATGAGGACAGCCTAGGGATACCACATTTTTCTTGTTGCCTTGTTACGGAAGTGGGTGGAAAAGACCTAGTTTTAGCCCTCCGTATTCTCAGCATTTACCTTGGAATTCGCGAGTCTTATTTGTTTTCCCCTCATTGAGCAACACTCTTTGAAGTAACTACAAGGAAGTTCAGAAATTCAAACCAACTTGCCTTTAGTCTACGACTTGCACTCAGAGTGATAAACGACAGGAACTCCTTATCTGAAGTACTGTCACGTCCTGCATTGAACACATACAGTTTAAACTGAATCTCCACAAGTAGGCTTACTGCAGGGATTAACACGGGTCAAATTGAAATACCATCCCTATTCCTGAAGAGGGAAGACTATTGAACACTGCGGCGGACAGTTTACTTTGAACGGTGCATCGTGTGGTTGGTGTCACATGGCTCTCTTCACTCCTACAAACCAAAAACGACTAACTAACGTATCTGTAGTACGCTTAAAAAAAGGAGGAAATCGTTATGAGCTAGCATGTTATCCAAATAAGGTTCGCGCCTGGAGAGATAAACTGTAATTATTAAATCCATGAATTACTTTTCAGTGAGACTAATTTAGATGAAGTTTTACAAGCTCATTGTGTTTTCTCAAATGTCTCGAAAGGTCAGTTTGCGAATAGGAAGGATATGTACGTTGACTTTCGCACTGAAGACGAGCGTCAAATCATAAAAACCGTTGGTTTCCTTGTTCGTAAGATATGTCTCTAGATTCTTGAAAACGGCGAATTGCAGCTCACTGAAAAAGAACGCCTTGTTGGTCAGCAGGCTTTGTTCAAAGATGTGGCTAAAATCGTGTCTGAGCGGTGTGTAAATCCGGAAAACAATCGCGCTTACACTGCTACTATGGTTGAAAAAATGATGAAAGATTGCCACATATCCTTGAAAGCTAACAAAAACGTTAAGCAGCACGTAAGTTACCCATAAGCCTCTAATGATTCAGGCCTTAGAAGTGATTAAGCAATTACGATCTACCCCAGGATTCAAGATAGCACCGTCGATGATGGAAGTAATAATCTCCATACAAAAAGATGCTTATGAACCCGTTTTTGAGAGACTTTTGCAATTATGTAATGAAGTTATACGTCAGAGTGAGTCAGCGGATGGACTGTGTGAACTGGTTAGTTAGCTCAATTTTTTTTCGGAGTTTTACTTCGCATGATTTTGATTGTTGTAAAAGTAGTGATAGCCTTTTGGCAGTGTATCTCCCATCTCCCGTGTTTAAAGCTTTATTCCTAGATTTTTCAATTCAAGAAACATCTATGGAGTGACTTATTATTACTCCTCACATTGGTTTTTATGAAACTATAATAGAAAGGTATACACCTGAAGTTCTGGTAGGGAGATAAATGACTTTTCAATTTAATTTATCTGGCAGCGACGCTACCACTGTCCCTGTGATCTGTGTGTTTTCAAGGTGGATTGCGGCACTTTACTTATGTCATTTTGAACCATTCTACAACTCCTAGTTTTTGGTCGAAGCTTTTTCATGGAATAAGCTTGATGTGCAAATCAGCGACAACGTACTAAAGTATCGATTGTGGTATCAAAAGTGTCTATCATTTTGTGGCATAGAATTTGTTTGTGCCGAGGTCCGTATTTTCAAGCACCCAGTTCGAACGGAACTAGGTATGAACTCTGCGTAGTTTATATAGCATTTTTAAGCTGGGGGCGTTTATACTTACCACTATGTATCTTTACCTTAAGTTCTAGATCAATTAAAGCTTCACAACGTGACAGAGAAAAGTCACTAAAAAAATTACTGGACAGTCAACCGTTAAGAAATCATTCATTCAAGTTTAATCAATCATTGTGTATGGTAGTCCTATGATACCTAGTGCTTCTGTATTCTCCCATAATTGTTTGCTCCTCTAAAGGCTGCGGAAATTCAGAAGTACTGTCAGATGCCGTAAATGTGAAAGTCACTTGCTAGTTCTTCAGGCTGCCATTGATCGCATGATCTAGTGTACCAGCTATCTGACTTTCCTGATGGATTACAGATGAACAAAACCAAGATAGCACGTGGCACTACTGATAGCTGCTACTTTGACATGTTGGTCGGACTTTCATATCACAATAACGCAACGAGGATGCTGGCAAAACGATTGCTCATTCGAGGTCTTACCATACCAGAAAGGTCTGTTACATAGTTCTCAGACAAAGCTATGATGGGGTCTGAGGACAAAGTCGTACAGCTGAGTGAACGGAAGTGTGAAAACAGCAAGGCGTTCGCCAGGGGTGATCAGCACTGCCACGTTAATCCTGCCTTCCCTATGGGAACGTGGTGGTGGTTAGAAAACTCCGACCCTAACAAATGCAAACTCCCATTTATCACGCGGCATACCGGTGCCAGCGATGACAGACATAGACAAAATCAACTTAGAACCTCGCACATAATTTCATCGGCTCAAGTTGCCACATCTCATACCAACACATCAAGTTGGAATGAACTAAAAAACATAAGGATATAAAAAAAATCAGAAGTTGTAGAAAGACTGCAAGGATCAATGAAAGAATACTACGATTCAGTCCGCCCACTAAAATAAAGATAATGAGATTGATTCTGACCCATGATAAATCGTGTGTTCAACCACTGGCTCTCGTAATGCAGACTCGGACCGGGAAGTCTACACACTACTCAGACAAACTGTCATAGACTACATACACCATGCCATACTCTAGTCTGACCACCAACGTTTTTGCAGCCTGAACCTACTTCAGCCAACATTACACGATGTGGCGGATGATGCCTGTGTATGCGTACTATATCCCAGCCATCTGAGCCGATGATAGTTCACAACAACTGACATCCTGCTTCTGCTCAAAACTCTACACCCGATTTCAGCGTTACTGGCGTGGTAGCACCACGACACAACTTGTGTCATGAAGGCGATGGCGGTCGAACACCTGAAAAAGACCCCTCATCTTTACCCTTAATGGCTGTTTCACAGCCATATAGCGGGAAAGAGCGGACTGAAAGGCAGTACACTCAACTTTGAATAGGTGAAATCTCAGCTTGGATGCAGGAAGCCCAGTTGGCATTTTCCGATTCGCGTCACTTATGGCGTCGACTGGCGAGATACCCATCCACCTGTTGAAGAACAAATATACTGCGTTACAGTCCCTTCTATCCTGTTGTGGCTAAAATGTGGTTGTTCGAGTACAGACCCTTCTAAAGGGTGATATACTTGTTCGGTATCTCTTTCGGTAAGAGACACTGCCATACGACTTCTTGTTTGACGGAGTTGAATGCGGCCTTCTGGTCGAGAAGTGTAGCTAGTGGCACGCGTCTGTATGTCTGTGTCCCTGACCCTGGTGAAGTGTAAATATCTAGTAGATGCACTCACTACCAGGTTTGAAATCTACCTGTTGTTCCCAGGTTTGCTGTTTCTGAGCTGACAGAGAAGTTAGATAATAATAGAACGTAGAATGCTGAACATTTTCACCAGAGTGGTCCCACTGTGGTTATCACAAGAGGATTTCTTGCATTTCTTGAAGATTGGGAAGATCAGTGATTGGAACCAAACAGAGGTGATCATATCTGATCTGCTCTGCACTAGCTAACACTACTGAGTGCAAACAGTAATCCGCAACCACCATGCTTAAATACCTGCATTAGTCCGTTTAGCCTCGCTATCCTTCCTCGTTTCAGGTTATTTGCAGGCTTCTCAAATTCCGCAATAGTTGAGTGACCTGTTCCAGTGTTCTATTCAGGATCTGACTGGATACCGGACAGCGGACTAGTTGCTGGGGGCCGGTTGGACAGTTCATAAATGTGTATGACTCGTCGTTCTAGTTGTCTCGCCTGCGAGTGAATAACAAAACCATCCTTCTGCACCAGCTACCGACTTTTTCGTTTCAATCTACCTTTACCTACCACCGCTATCTTTTACACCTCTTCGACTTTCGCTGCCCACTACTGTTCGCGGTCGTTGCGTCAACGTTTCCATGGTGCGGAGTCTAATGCCAGTGGATCGACATCGGCGATCGTCTGTTGCAATTTTGTTCCGACAATCACCTGTTTCTGGCCAGTACTAACTTCAAGCATAAGGGGAGACACTGACTCCCTAGGGTCCCCCGACTTCAAACCAATGACGAATACATATGGATCACATTGCTATAACTCATCGTTGGATAGGATCGGTGGATGATTGTCACTGTTTCTGGAATATACCAGTTTGGGTTCCGATCACGTGCTAACACGGGCTGGTGTATATCTGCCGCTTACTGATCACAAAAGCAGATATTAAAGCTTGTCTATGGTCGATTGAAAGATGAGAACGCAAAGTAGGTATTTAGGGAGGGGTTGGCTAGGCATTTATCTGAACATGGTAGCAATGCTGATCCTGAGGAAACCTGGCGTGGTATTAAGTCTGCTGTAGAAACAGGATTAAAGACAGCTGGTAACCTACGTCCTAAGGTTAACAGATATTGGATTTCCGCAACGTAACCCAAACTGATTGCAAGTGGATCTAACTACAATAGAGTCGAAGAAACTTGAATGTAAGTTGATCAAGAGTCTTCGTGTCGATCACGAGCAGTAGTGGATGGCAAAAGTGCGAGAAATGGAGAAAGCATCAACAGTGGGTTATATTATGATTCAGAAACTGCTATGGCCGCTAACGATGCACGGATATTGACAGTCAATCATCAACTTTCAACAGATTCCTAGTTGATTCCTGACCCGACTAATTAATGGAGAAGACACGATGGATGGGTCGAAGGACCGAAGACAAGAACAAAGGAAAATATATCAAATATATAGGTACTTCTCTGTTTAAAATAATATTGTTTGGCTGGTCCACCATCTGCCTATCTAATTGTAAGCGTGATAAAATAAAATACATTTTGGTTGGTCCGTCTGCAGACTAGTCTTTCCTCTATACCCCCATATCACGTTACACTCGAGATCTATTTGGGCTTATTATTGATACTAGGAAAAAAGTCGATGATGAGACCGTCACCGAAAAAGATGAATACAGCTTGAACGTTGTGCAGAACACTGAAGCATAGCATACTGGCCCTCAGCAGCACTTCAGTGGCCCAACATCCTGCATGAGACGTAGATGTCGGTCCTCCAACTCTCCTTGAAGTTGTGAAAGCTGTAACGAGTCTGAAACGATGCAAAGAAGCAGGACCTGATAATTTGCAACCTGAAATTTTCAAGGATAGAGGTAAGGAACTGTCGATTAGATTGACAGAGGTACTAGATAGTACATGGGAACTAGAGAAAGTGCGTCAGACTGGTCTTCTCTGATCATCCCAGTCTATAAAAAGGGAGAGAAATCTTGTGATGACTGTAGGGGAATTAGTTTGACCAATACCGTACCCAAGATCCCAGGATACACAGTTATCCGGTGTCTAACTGGAGCTCAAGAAAACCACCTTTCAGACCTGGATGAGGGTGCATCGATCATATTTTCATCTTCCGACAGGTTGTGAAACACAAGCATACCTACCGCTGGCCGACACTTGCCATATTCAATGACCAGAAGGCGGCATTCAACTCAGTCTACCGTGAGGTGTTGTGGTAGTGTCCGACTTGAAATGGAGTATCGAGCAAGTATATAACGCTAATCAAACTTCTCTACTCAAACTCACGCAGCCGTATCAGGACTTATGGAGAGTTGACATCGGAATTGACGACAACTAGTGGCAGGGATGTCTACTGTTACCGTCCATATTTAACTTCGTCATAGACGTACTAATAGACATAACCTTAGACACGTCTGACTTCACAGAGATTGGCCTTTCCCTGAAGGTTATCTGGTTGACCTGGAGTATGCAGATGATATTGTCCTGTTAGGTAAAGATGCTGAAAAAATACAGGGGCTTTTGAACACGTTGAGCAGAAATCTAAGTTTGTTTGGTATGTGTTTAGCTGTCACCTATCAAATGTAAGATGATGCTCCGGGACTGGTCTGGTGCATGTACTCCCAGTTTAATGATAGAAAGTGAAGTAATGGAATGTGTCGACCACTTCACTTACTAGGGGAGTTGCATTAGCCCTAACGGGCTAGTTGCTGACGAAATCTCAGCATGAACACAGAAGGTCCTTTTAGCATTTTCCAGCTTGCGTCATCTGTGGAGCTGACTGGCGGGATATCTGACTATCTATCAAAGAACGAGTATACTGATCTGCAGTCTATTCGGTCCTGTTTTACGGCTGAGACATGGCCGTTAAGAGTAGAAGACGTAAAGCGATCATAGGGTCTTGATCATGGATGTCTCTGTAGCATTGCTCTTGTTTGTGTAACCACCTTTGTGAGCAATGATGTGGTTAGGCGAAGGGTACCAGGCAAGATAGACAAGCCGATTGATGAGGTTGTTAAACTTCATCGGCTAAGGTGGCTTCGACATATGTTGTGCATGCCAGTCTACCACCTATCTCGAAGTGCCATGCGAGGTTAAGCTGACATCGGTTGATGAATTCTTTGAATTTTGAACCGAGCCATGTAGAGAGATGTCCTGCCTAGTTAGCGTCCGAGATAAAAGGAATCAGTGGTTGAGAACTCTTGGTGACATAATTGAAAATTTGTCACGGTGGTACAGATGTATTCTCTCCGTGATATCTTCTAAATTTTAAATATTCACACTAACCTTTATCTTCAGATTGTTTATTCTCTCATACAACTTTGTCTACTTTGATATCACTTTTTTTATCCACCTGTTTTATTGTGTACTACTGTGAAGTGTTTCAAGTTGAACCGATGCAATTGTTTGCGAGGTTCTGTGTTGATTTTGTCAGTCAGTCAATCAGTCAGTAGACGTTTCGCCGGTCTAAATTTGAAATGCTTCCATTCCTCATTGTTCTCGTAGGCTTCACAGCTGCATCTATTAATAGAGAAGCTGCTATGACCCACTAACTTCTAGCCGTTCTCTGACGGTCGGCCACGGTCTTCAACGCTGTTTTTACATCAGACTGATAATGACGCCAGGTTTCTTTTGGATAAGGTGTGTTGCTCAGTCCTGATAACTGTCCAACTAGTTCGTCACTGAAAGCTGTCTAAGTATTCGCGTCGTCGAGCTGCACCTGAAATAGTGTCGTTATAGGTTTTCTCCATCCATTTAGGGGATTAAGACGATGAGTTTCACTGCACCTTGTAGTCCTCACTATGCCATTCATTTAAACAGTTACTGCCAACTGGGATTCATTCGAACAGTGCACATTTTGTTTAAGCACCTAATCCTATGGCTACGCCTGTAAAGCCACGAGAACTAGCTATTGAATCTCCAAAGGCTTGAAGGATGACCTTTGCGGAATCCTCATATTGACCAGGTGAGGTTAGGTGAGTAACCGTACTTGGGTCTTGTATGCATATCTTAAAAAAACAATGCACGTCCATGCCCCAAAATGTCAGAGTTTTGGCTAGTCACTTTGTTGTCTTACTTGACGGAGTTTGCGGACCTTAAGGGCTTTAATGTTTACTTTGGCATATATTTTTGGGAGACCAGGGATTCTGTTTTTTCAACTCAGTTGAAAGAAATGGAAGATGATGTAGAATCATTGGTCGACAGATATAAAGGAAGATTAGAAGGTGAGGATGTGGATGATGAAAAACGACCTAAGGGACTTAAGTAGTGACAGAGTTTGGAGCGTGGCTGACACTTCTCGGCTGCATACATTGTGGAAGGATAGTTCTTTCTGAGATAATTTAAAAAGAAGGGTTAGTGCGTGACCGCAAAAGCGAAGGGATACCTCCTTTAGACCGGTCACACATGACCGTTTTGCAAATGTGATTATGAACTCATATCGTTGACACCGGTAACCCACTTGATAAAGAAGTTTTCTAATTTCAGAACCGACGGTTTTTAGTCTCCCCTTTCGATAGGGGAATCAGCATTAGTATAGTAGTAATGTTCATCCTCTTTTGGGACTTTACTACTGTCACAACCCTGTCATGTCAACAGAACAACTTCGCCATCGGACCCCCATCGTAGCGTAGCTATTTGCACCATGACGTTTACTGATATGGTTGAACCTCGAGAAAACAAGTGTTCCAGTCAGTGTAGCTCGTCGGGTCATTGTGATATGCAAGCCCGACCACTATATCAAAGTAGCAGCTATCTGTCTCGGTTATCCTATCTTCTCTGTTATTGTTTATCTCTAATCTGTTAATCTTTAGAATTCCTATTCATGGTTTGAGGAATACAGTGAGCCAGTAGAGTTTTGATTCCCTAGTCTAAACAGGTAACTTTTAGCCAGCGGGTCACGATTTAGAATCCTATTCCATCTACTAAGGTTTGACAAACTAAACTGCATTATTGACCTCCACTTAATACGTTTGAACTTTTATCACACCACTGACCATATCTAATCTGAAGTAAGAAAATTTGTAATTCCGAGTTTTCTTGTCGATTGCATAGTTTATGAATTTTCGTCAAGCATAGTTCGAATGGTTGTTATCCTGAATGAGACTACTACCTCAATGTTTCTTTTAATTGTTGTTAGTTTTGAAAAGTAGTTCATAGTTGTCTGAAAGAGTATTCAACGTAATGGTTTACTGGATGACAAATAAAATGTAAACTGATCAATTAAGTATCACTACTGGTAATTGATTACTCTTTGATTACTTTCTATCATTCGACTCCATAGTCCTATGCTGTCAATAACATTCTTTGGCAAACCTCAGAAAACGATATTAAGTCATTTTTCTTTGGTTGAGATCATTAAATCTACGCGTTCAAAACGAAAGTTGTGTAAAATCACTATTACAGTCACCTTTAGCATATATGAATCACATTTTGCAGAGTTTTGATGCATCTTTTGGGCCATTAGATTCTAAACTGTGAAACCAAGAACCTAGATTCAGTTCCTGTCCAGGTAGTGTATTGTATCATATTCGTATGCGATGAGCATATTTCTCAAAATGGAATAGATTCATTTCTAAACTACCCCTGGCCCTCCATCAAAATATTCTTTATTTTCTAGATATTATTAAATATTCAATAAAGCCCGACGAAACTTAACCGAGATTACGTATCTGCTTTAAACTACTTTTTTGCTGATCATTAGGGACTTAGTGATGCCACTTTTTCATAATCTCATTTGAGTTTATTCTCTTTACATAACCTGTAAAGCTTCTGTCATTATTCTTAAAGAGTTGTGTTTATCTTGGTGTTTAGGCTGCTGTTGTTGAACCTGAAAAATACGGTTCCATTGAAGCACTTCTTCACAGCGAAATAAAAGGTAGATATTGCATTGAAATAGCTGACAGTACAAAGTATGGTCACAAAGAACAGATAAGGTCGAACCCTGGTTACAAAACAGAAAGAAACTCAAGGAGGATGCCAGCACCAGTGCTCCCAGTTCATCTAAATCAGAAGTTGGTCAAACTGTTCAGCCATCTGAGACATCAGTGTCAGTTGATAGAAAAGATAAAAAGAAGCCCAGGAGAAAGAACAAAAAAGGTTCCAAACATGATGACTGGTCTGATGATTGATTAGTATAAAACTGTATCATTACCGCATTGTTCAGTCTTTCACTGGTCAAATTTGTATACATTTGCATTTTTTTCCTGCATTATTTATTTCCAATAGAGATTATCGAAGCGGATTTCTCTTATTTTAACCTTTAAATATGTAATGAGTCAATAAAATATCTCAATACTTTGAAGATTGACTGTTCTATGTAATCCTAGTTTTGACGTATGTTGTAAATTTAGAAAAAGATTGATTGAACGAAGAAATATATTCCCCTTCAATTAGGTCTTCATCTTAGGCTCTACACTAATACATAGTTTTTCAGTGTAATCAAACTACCAACCACGTGGTGATGTTCTCGACAAGACAAACTGTCCTTATCATACAACAGAAAAATGGTTAGTACAACCGATAGCTGCTACCTTGACGTGGTGGTCGGGCTTGCATATCACAATGACCCAACGAGCTATGCTGGTGGAACGCTTGTTCCCTCGAGGTCCTACCATACCAGAAAGGTCTGTTGGGTAGTGGTTAGACGAAAAGCAGTTACCATAGTGGTGTAAATTGCTACACTATGATGGGGGTCTGAGGGCGAAGTCGTACTGCTGCTAGCTGGATGGGGTGTGACAGCAGTAAGGTGTTTCCCTTGGATGACCAGCAGTGCCATGCTGATGCTGCCTTCTCAGTGGAAGGGGGGGTTAGAAAAGGTCGGCCCCAAAAATAACACACTCCACCACGCCCCACGGTCTGCCGGGCCGGCGGTGTTGGTTCACTTGTCGTTTCCTTTCGACCATCCGGCCCCAAAAATACAAAATTCAAAATAATCATACTCAAAAGGCTGGGTGTGACAGGCCTCAAGCAGATGTCCGATGGGCTCTGCGGTCACACAAATCTCTTTCAGGTACCTTAAGAAGAAATAGCCTTCCACGGTGTGGGCAGCCGGGAAGTGTCAACCGCCCTCACAACTCTGTCAGCACCCAAGTTTCTTCTGACTGCTATCCTCCTCCTCCATCATTACCTTCTAATCTTCCTTCACGTCTCTTAATTAATGATGCTGCATCATCTTCAATTTCTCCTACCTCTGCAGCCTTCGACAACGATCTGAGTCCACAGAACAGCATCCCTGGTCTCCTTAAACCACGCTCCAAATTACATATTGGAGCCTTCAATGTCCGCACCCTCCGTCAAATTGGCCAACAGGCTTCGTTGGCAAAGACTCTAGCAACTCGGGCATGGATGTGTGCTGTGTTTGTGAGACACGCATACAGGACCCAAGTGTGGTTATTCACCTGACCTCTCCTGACCAATCTGGTGAATCTGCAAAATTCACCCTTCGAGTTTCTGGAGATTCGATAGCTAGCTCTCGTGGTCTTGCAGGTGTAGGTATAGCATTAAGCACCAGGGCAGAAAACTCACTACTAGACTGGATCCCAGTTGATAGTCGCCTCTGCGCTATGAGGCTGAACGGCACAGTGAGAACTAAAAGGAATAGTGAGACTCGCCGTTGTCTCTTTGTAATCTCTGCTTACGCACCCACTGACTGTAGTTCGGATGAAGTGAAGGACGAGTTCTACCATAAACTGTCTAACCTCCTCTCGAAAGCCAAACGTTCGGACGTAGTGGTTGTTGCAGGTGACCTCAACGCACAGGTGGGTAGACTGAGTGAGGCAGAAAGGCACTTAGGTGGCACTTTCGGAATCCCAGCTGAACGTACAGATAACGGTGATCGCCTATTACAACTATGCTCAGATAACCGCCTATTTTTAGCCAGCACAAATTTCAGACATAAAGAAAGGCACTGTCTGACCTGGCGTCCACCGAGCTCGACTCAGCGATGGACACAGATAGACCACATTGCTATTAGTCATCGCTGGAGAGGATCGGTGGAAGACTGCCGCTCCTTCTGGAGTACGTGTTTGGACAGCGATCATGCGTTGGTCCGAGCACGTATATGCCTGCGTCTCAATGGACGTAGAAAAAATTTGGCAACAAAACCACTACGAGTTCTGCTGGACAACGAAAACACCAAAGCCGTGTTCAGTGAGAAGTTGGCTAGGCAGTTATCGGAACAAAAGACTGTCACTCATCCAGAAGAAGCTTGGTGCCATCTTCAGTCTACTGTAAAAGCAGCACTGGAGACTGTAGCCGACTCCAAGATAATGGCTAAAAAGAGCCAGTGGATATCAGCAGCTTCTTCCAAACTAATGGATGCACGTGAATGCATCCCTGCAGGCTCTGAGTACAATGAAGAGCGAGCGCAACTTAAAAATAACTGACGAAAAGTCTGCGCAACGATCGTGAACAGTGGTGGGCAGCAAAGGCTAAAGAGATGGAAAAGGCAGCGGCGATCGGTAACAGTAGACAGTTATTTAGACTTATTAAGGAGACTGGGGGGAAATGGTCAACAACAGTTAGTGAGGTTATAGCGGAGAAGGACGGATCGGCGATTCACTCGCAGGGAAGGCGACTGGGACGATGGGCAGAACACTTTGAGGAACAGTTTAACTGGCCTCCAGCCACCATTGCGCTGCCCGCTATCCAGTCGGACCCTGAATGGGACATAGAGACAGGTCCCCCAACACTAGAAGAAGTTGAGAAAGCGGTAGGTAGCCTGAAACGGGGAAGGGCAGCAGGACCAGACGGACTACCTGCTGAGGTATACAAGAATGGTGGTAGAGTGCTCTTAGTCAGGCTAACGGAAGTGTTAGCCAGTATATGGGAATCAAATACGATCCCCTCCGACTGGTCTAAGTCACTCATCATCCCAGTCTTCAAGAAAGGCGAGAAGTCCTCTTGTGATAACCACAGAGGAATCAGCCTGACGAACATAGTGTCTAAGATCCTAGGTTCTATAATTCTCCGACGCCTGAGTGGAGCTCGGGAACAGCAAGCCCGAGAAAACCAGGCAGGCTTTAGACCTGGCCGTGGATGTATCGACCAAATATTCACACTGCGCCAGGTCCTGGAACATAGGCATGCTTACAGACGCCCGACAATAGCTGTATTTCTCGACCTGAAGGCGGCATTTGACTCCGTTGATCGAGAAGTCTTATGGCAATGTCTGTCACTGAAAGGCGTGCCTAGTAAGTACATCACCTTATTGAAAGCTCTCTACTCGAACACTTGTGGGCATGTTAGAGCCTATGGTGAGTTGTCCAGGGAGCTATACTCATCAAGTGGTGTCCGTCAAGGATGCCCACTATCCCCATTCTTATTTAATTTTATCATAGATATTCTTATGGAGGTTTCCCTCTCGTCACCTGATTACACAGACGTTGACCCAATCACAGGTGAATTTTCTTTAGATCTAGAATATGCAGATGACATAGTCCTGTTAGGTGAAGATGCAGAGTCTTTTAAACACTGAGTGGGAATTTGAGAATGTTTGGGATGCGATTTTCACCACCCAAATGCAAATTGTTCTCCAGGATTGGTCTTCAACGGGGCCTCGACTAACAATAGAGAGTGAAATGGTTGAGTGTGTTGACCACTTCACTTACCTGGGAGGAAGTAGGATCAACCCTGGTGGGTTAGTTGCCAATGAAATCTCTGCACGAATACAAAAGGTTCGGCTGGCTTTTGCCAACTTACGCCACTTATGGCGCCGCCGTGATATCTGTTTGTCTATTAAGGGTCGCGTGTACTGCACATCAGTCCGGTCTGTTCTACTGTATGGCTGTGAAACATGGCCATTGAAAGTGGAAGATATAAGAAAGCTTCAAGTATTTGACCACCGTTGACTTCGTAGTATAGGTCGTATTCCGTGGTGTCACCACGTGAGTAATGCAGAAGTCAGGAGTAGAGTTTTAGGGAGTAGAGGTAAATCAGTTGACGAGGTTATGAACCTTTATCGATTGAGATGGTTGGGACACGTGTTGCGTATGCCTAGTCACTGATTACCTCGTCACACAATGTTGGCTGAAGTAGGCCCAGGCTGGAAAAAGGCCTGAGCTGGCCAGACTAAAACATGGCACCAATGTATGAAGTGTTTGACTGTTGGTTTGAGTCATGTGGGGCGATGCAGACTAGGTGGTTGGGGTCGGTAGGACAAGAGGAACCAGTGGTTGGAGACCCTAGGTGATATGGCTCAGAACCGATGTCAGTGGCATAGATGTATACACACATTATCCTCATCTTAACAACGCCATACCGAATCTCACCATTTTGTCACTCCCCTTTCCTTTCTTCTCGTACTTTATATTTCTTTTGACTGCATTCACTTATCTTCATGCTTCACCTCACTATCTTCCTACTTGATGAACTGACGTGAGGTGTGGCAACTCGGACCGTTACGCAGTGATGCCTGGTCCTATGTTGATAGTGATTGATTGATTGATAACTCTTGAAGTCTGTCCAAAAAGAGGTTTTGAAGTACAAACTCAAATATATCTTTGAATTTGTCGGAAAGATTGAAAATCCGAAAGTAGATAATCAGTTAATGATACCGTGTGATGTTTCATCCCTTTCTACTAACGTTCCTTTCATGGAGATAGTAGACTATATTTCCAATGAATTTGCTACATGATCCAGTCCAGTCCACCAAAACCAGGAAGATCATGGGTGATGATAGTAGACAGCCTTGTCTTACTCCTGTCTTCACTTCAAAGGCATCACTGAGCTTTCCGTTGTGGATCACTTGGCACATGGCATAGTCATATAGCTGTTGGATGAGGTTGATAAAGACTAGTGCCACTAAAACCGTAATGTTGAAGCAACTGCCTGTCAGATTACTTCTCGGTCGACGCTGTCGAAGGCCTTTTCAAAGTCGATGGAGTTGAGTTGAGGTAGAGAGTTGACTGCCATTCTATACTCTGTTCAATGATGATGCGTAGCGTTACAATTTGATGCGCACATAACTTATTCTTCCTGAAGCCAACCAGCCAGCCTATTCCCGTCGTAGTTTTGAATCCAGAGCATCCTGTTTAATAAGATAGATAGTTAAATTTCTTTGTTTGAATGCAGAAATCCGAGGGAATACCGTTTAGATTATTACACTCCTTGTCTTATTTTAGGGTTATTCGAGTTATCCAGTAAAGATCAATTAACAATGAGTATGAATCTAAGTATACATACTAATCAAATATATCCGTTGTCTTTACAAAGGTTGACGGAAATATTTTGGAAAGAAATGCCTAATAACTCTAGAATCGACTGAGTTTGTTCATTGGCATTTTATTGCCCTAAAAATGTGAC